TCACCTACAGTCTTTAAAGGATGGCTTAGATCACGTCTCCGCATGGTCTTCGAATAATGGACTCCTACTCAACAATCAGAAATCAGTACAGTGTGTGTTTCGATTGCGACCCTCTCCCATTCCTGAACCTTTGGATATTCTTCCCAATGAGGTATCTTCTTTCCGGTACCTAGGTGTTACTTTATCCTCAAATCTCTCTTTCTCTCTTCATATGGAAACCCTTTTAATAAAAATTCAAAGACTTGTTTATTACATTCGTCGTCTACGTTCATATCACACACCCCAGTCTTTAATCTGGCGATTCATAGATGGCTGTATTCTTCCACTCATTCTTTATTGTTCTCCAGTTATTTTTCCAGCTTTACTTAAAAAAGATCTAATTATTTTTAAACGTGTCATTCGAATGCTCGCCTCTGCTGCTGGTGTTTCCTATCATCTTTTAGTTGATATCATCGTGCAGCGACACTTCAACTCGGTGGAGCAATTCGCTGACCGAATTCTGAATGACACCGTCCATCCCCTTCATAATGAGTTAATGGCTGCGTCGATGCTTCCGCCACATCCCTTGCCGCACTTCGGCCTATCGGAATTCCGTACTGCCATTTCTAGCCCGGTATCTCACCTGCAAAGATGTTGAAAAACAAAAACTAAAACTCGATCTTGCACCTTAAAGTCCTTTTTTCTCCATATATAATCATGTCCACCTGTCCAAAACCTGTTAATCTCTATGGTAATCACTGCGTACTGGAGAACCGTTTTTGCTGAAAGTTTTGAAAATTATTTTCAAAATAAAGCAGTCCTCTCTCTCTCTCACTATGTATCACGGCTCTGTTTAGTGGGGAACGACTTGAGTTAGCCTAGGCGGCCTACGGAATTGCACGCCGCCCCTTCCGTATGAATTTCGAAAACGGGAGAGGGGAAGGAAAGCAAAGTTAACAGGTGTGAGTACGCAGAAAAAATCGGATACTCTCTCTAGGTTTAACCCTCCGGTCAATGCGGTCACTTCGGTTTGGCCGCTAGGTAGAGCTTAGCTTTGGGGAGCCACAAATGAACGTTTGGTGTCATTTAATGGACGTTGGACTTACAAGGAGACAGTTGATACGAACGGCTACAATCTTCATGCGGAACCCATAACTGGACATGGAAAGTTGCGGTGGAGGACTGGTTGGTGAAGAACTGTTAGACGTCCTGAATCTCCGACCAAGCCCTGCGGACGAGAATCTGCCCCAGAAACTAAGGTGAGTTTCATGTCCGCCAAACGTTAATTATCTGGTTATGTCGTAGGCGGCGTACCACGCCGGTGCTGTTTGATCGTTCCCGGCTCGTCAATGCCACCGGGTGAGCGTTGCATGACAAAATCACATCGAAGGTATGCTGCCGCAAACTGTCATGCCTAGAGAGTTAACATACGCAACGGCATGTAGACTTGTATGATCAGGCGGTTATACCTTGTTTACTGTCTTTGGCAGGCTGGATAATCAGGATAGGGACGTCTTTCATGTCTGTCTCCACATCCAGTAGTTCCCATTTTCCCTCCTCAAATAAAAAGACCTGTTGAGGGTGACATGCAATCCCGCAGGCAGCTTTGGCTAATTGGGGTTTTCCCACTGTAACTGGGGAGTTCGACAGCCGCCTGAAGTGACAGCAGTCCTTCATGAACGACGAGGCTGGAAAATGTGCTTTAAAAGTGCTGACAGAGCACATGGCTGGTAAGCTGACTGACATGTTAGCGTAACTAATTCGCTCAAAACAACTGCTACCGTAGAAACACTACACACTCTGGTGTCCTGCAATGTTTCCTTCTGTTTATGAAATTCAGCGGCAGAAGGGAGAACAGGTCTTATCGCCCGCAAGCAGGATCGCTACAAAGTGGCTATCACGGCGCCCATTGAGACCCGTTTCTTTGATCAAAGAGAACTGGAGGAAATGGGTGCCGAATGAGCCCTCGGGAGTGAAGATACGATCAAGGAGGGCGTCGTTAGACGCCCGTCTTGCCTGTCGCAGGTAATCGACAATCGACTCTTGATCATGAGACTCGTACACTGCTGGGGAAAATTCAACACGCCCAATAGCATCTTCTTTTCTCAAACGACAAGACCCGACGACGCGGAGGAATAATCCTACGATGATCTACATGCCCTACGCGGTATTTTGGCAAACACGAAAAAATGATTCTTCCTGACGGCCCACTGCCCGCTTTGGCACTGATCACACCACCTTGGGGGGAGTACTCGGTCGCCGCAGGATCGGTAGCTGCAAGAACTGTGGCCTCGTCTTGTGGACCCAGTTTCCAACCCAGGGCACAAGGTCACCGTCCTGTGAGACCACCGTGAGTTAGACCGCGTGCATCCAGCCCTATCACGGGCACGACCTTTCCCCTTCCCTCATTGTCAGTCTACAAACCCGTTCGACTGTCGTGGGCTCTCGTTTTCTCAGAAAATTGGCGCCAGTAGTAGCCTAAAAGCTTGAGCCAATAAAATTTACTTTCTGACCCTCGCGTGTAATTCCTTTCAACATAATAGTATTTTGTATACATGGAAGTGGTTTCAGCATACCAGACAGGAATCTTAGACACATACTTCGCCGATCGTTTTCCGTTACGGTAACTGCAAAGTCTTCGGCTCCTCAGCTCATGCTAATATACTGCAGACGCGATCATCACGCGATCATTCTACAGATGCTGACAATAATCACCTGAAATGATCATCGCGGCTTCGGTTCATCCTAAAAAGTCATCAGAAAACACTTGCTCCAAGTAGTTCCCGTTTATTGCCAAACTACCAGCTTGGAGTTCAAGACTACGATTACAGCAAAAGTTGTATCACGGAAGTCCGGAACCCATCGAGAGGCCTAAACTATCAAATTTTTGGTGGGCAATGGTGGAAGGTCAGCAAAATACGTATCCGGGTCTTTAAAAGGCATCGATGCCGGCAGCATGTCGAAACTCTTTCTAACATCTGGAGGGGATGCGTATTTAGGCGACTGATAGCAGTGGTTGGCGTGAGTGACTGGCTAGCTTGTGCTTGATATTGACTGGACTGCCACCAAATGCCAACGTTTAAACTTTGACAGAGCCCTACGTAGGTGAGCTTACTGAAATTTCATCGAGAACGTATTCACTACTGCCCAGCGAAACTTGTCCAATGCAGTAAAGGTCTCAAGAATGAAGAGCTGGTCCGTAAGTCGACCATCGACAATCTGAACTTCTTTGCTTCATAGGCCTATTGATCTTGTTCACGCCCTCCGATATATGAAGTACCAGAGTCAACAATCAGACAGCAAATAATGAGGTTCAAAGACCCGCTACCGGTGACAGAACAATCAGCGGTGGTCTACAGCATACCATGCTAAAACTGTGATGCAAGGTATGTTGGTGAAACGGGCAAACATTTTGGCACGAGATTGCATGAGCACCAGCTTGCAATCAACCGCAAGGACAAGCTGTCTATGGTTTATGGCCACGTCAAACAGCAGAACCACAATTTTCGCCTTTGACAAGGCAAGGGTAATCGGCCGAGCCAATGATAAGATGGCCAGACTGATGCTCGAAAGTTGGTCCTCGACTGGCACACTCAACAGAGCCATAGATCTGCATCCCGCCTATCAGGCGCTACGCACAAGGCTCGAGTCAGTGCGGACAAGGCCATCAGGACAGTCGAGCAAAGTGACGCGTGGCCGACAGCCGATGTCAGCAGAAAGTAGGAGAGAAGCCGGTCGGGGGTCATGTGACCAGCATGGGACACCACCTCATCGCGGCGCCCACGAAGCTGAGATCAACTCACATGAGCCCCAACAAATGATCAGTCCGTTGAGTGACGAGGGGGAGGCCGACAAGCATGCTGGCTCGCCAACAATTACGACGGTCGCAAAGGAGTCATTAGTGGCATGAGCCACCGGCGGTCAATCGTGGAGAGGTCAACGCTAATCGGCGACGAACGGGCAGGTCAGAGTTCGTGCCTCGCGCTCGGATATAATACCAGGCAGGTATCAAGGCTGACGAAATCAAGACCAGTAGGAACTGTCAACACATTACTCTGATGATGGAAACGAGAGGGTTTCCGAAACGTCAGCACAAATATAACTCGATCCATGAATGCGCCCTATCTTCTTCTTCGTCTTCTTCGGGGAATGATGTACGCGATGCAATATCTGGACCTCGAATCTTTACCCATATCGAATTACCAACTCTATGTTCAAATATGCGTGCATTGTCGTTGTGTCTTATAGAATATAGTTGTAATTTAAATTGCCTTCAATATTTCCTTTAACTTTATATCCTGCTTATTCTGAAGCTTATGTTTTCTGCGCATTTTTGAAGGGTCGTTTATTCGTTAACTTTGTCGCCTCCGTGGTATTTTGGAGAGAGCTTTTCATAAATGTGGGCATATTTAGTGAGCCCTCGAGCCTATTACGGCTGCGTAGACTTGCCCCCTATCACCTAATGCAATAGTATGTGTTTTTGCGCAATTGAGGGCTCGGGGACATCACTTAATCCGATTATAACTGAAGGATATGTAGCAGCCAGATTGGTGGGTGTGTCTAAACCACTCCTGGGGAGTCCGGATTGTGAATCGTCAATGTTAACTCAGGCCTGAAAGGGGAAATATGTCTACGTTAAAATCTGTCAGTGTTACTCGTGAGACTGCAATGTCAAAAGATTTGGAGATGTTTGCAATGAAGGTTGATGACAGTGACGCAATAGGGCGTTTGGGAAAATTGTTTTGCGCTGTTTTGGCGTTGGGCTGTCGAAACGCCAACTAGACATTTACTGCTGCGCGCACACAGCTGTTCTTAAATGATGCTAATCGCTCTCACCGAAAGCGGATATACGCCCACATTCACGTGGCCCACTTCATGAAGTTGCGGGGTGGAACACTATAGTGTAATTATGTACGATCTGCGTTCCGATTGGTCCGCCCTGTCGGCCAATCAGCTGTGTTCCTTCCCAACCCTCCTAGTAAAGATTCCTACGCGTCCTTCCGGACGGAAACCGATGTAGAATGGACTTCCTCGCTCTGTCGTGGCAGGTCCTCTTGGCTATTTTGATAAATTTTTGCGGGATAGAGGAGGCTGTGAGGTTTACTAACGGCCCCACTGAGTGGGGAATGCTCTGCAACCTGAACGCGGCAGAACTCGATCCGGAAAATATGGAGACTCAGAGGGACAGTAAGGACGGTGTGCCTCTCCTTTATGCTAGTCTCAGCGGACTAATAAAATCGGCCGCCAAAAACCCTCCCAATGGATCAGTTTATGCAAAGCCATGCTGTTTTCCCGAAACTTGGGAGTCAGGTTTCATCGTCCACACACGCCGCATCGGTCGTCGCTCCCGGGGAGACCTCAGTCACTTCAGGATTCTTAGGCGGCCGGAACTAAACTCCATGGAGGCGGTTATGGTGATTGGGCAAAGCGTAATGGCCACTAGTCTCTGTGCCAATTATACTGGTGACCGCCTCGAAACCTGCCCCACAGACACTGCAGCTTGCCTCGAAGTGCCCCATCTTGGGGAGCCACGTTGTGTCTCCGAGGCTACGGGATTCCATTACATGCCCAGAGGTGATCGCACCCAAGAAGTTTGGTTCACGGACTCACGCATCCCCACTGGTGGAATTCGTCGTCATATTTATACTTTCGACCGTCGTTACGGCCTCTGCCAGCTGAAAACTTACCAGCTCCTCACGGGCCAGTACATTGATGCCAAACGAAGTTGCCGGATGATGTTTCTAGAAGATCGGCTCTTCCTACCCATGGGGGGCTCATTTAAAATTGACTTCCAACACGCGTTAGATAAAGATCTTTTCAACTGCAAGACTTCCCGATGATTTATCCATAAACCTACTTAGAACGAAGTAGGCCTCGATATCAGGGAGCCTGACGATATTTATCTAACCTGAAATTGATGTCATTTGCTGTTTATTTAGTCTGTGGTGATGGAAGATGCCCCGTTTAATTGCGTATATATCCAGCCCCGCCAACCCCCCCCCCTTTCTGCGTATTTTATGCTGCCTCTGGTGGGATGCAAATTTCTGAAATAGGTCTGACTTGCTTGCACTTATGAAAATTGTTATGAAGTCCTGTGATTTTATGGCTATCCAAGAACAAGTCATCAGAACTCCAGCTTTCATCGGTTTTGTCTTTATGTTGGCTTGTCAGAGATATCTATACTGGTTAGGTTCTCCTGTGTACGATTGTCAAATGTCACTTCACAGTTCGATGCATAAGTCCACATGGAAAAGTTTTAAATTACAAGCACGTTGTTCAGCCTTAGCTTACTGGGCATAGAAAACTGCCATTTGGCAAACAACCTGAAGCCTGTTCTCCAAGCGAAATTTCTGTGCTCAAAACGCTGCAAAACGCATTCGCTACCGTGAATACGACCAGGCAGATCTCATGGGAGTTGCGTCCATTTGCAACACTTTGCGCCTAGCGACGCGGCAAATCGTCGCCCGAAGAGTCGCCCACGAGCAGTAGCTGTACTATCTTATCAAATCGACCGGAATTCTGAAATACGTTTTCGACTCGAAAAGACTACTTAAGTGCCGTTGTAATATTACTTATCGTGCAGCATCACCCTAAGAGAGCTTAGTCACGCCAAAATGCTGGCTTTTGAATAAGCTCCTTTTCGGCCGCCTGTAACAATACACTCCGAAAAAGATGACTGCTTAAGTGGTATGACTTTCCCCCATTGTCTTTTGATGCGCTTATGATTTCTTATATATTGTATAAAAATGCCCAAAAACTGTTCGCCCCGTACTCAGTTTGTCGCACATAACGTCATCTTCAAGTTGTCTACTTGACGGGAGAAATTTTTTGGTTTTTAAAGAGTTTTTTTGATACCCGAATAATTTTTTACCCCGCTTGCATGTAGGGTTTCAAAACCACATGCAGTATACCTTCCATGTAAAGAATATTGCACATTTCTCTACGTTGTTAGAATGACACCCTACAACTTTACAATGCATGTGGGTCAGGCCGTATACTTCGTAAGTAGCATTAAAAAACGTGCTAATGAGGGGCTGTGTGAAAGGACAATTCACGGTCTTTAAGATCTCATAATTCAAAACTTTTCAAGACCGAAAGATCTTCTCAGTTCAAGTAGAAAATTTAGAGATGCAATCTGCTACCGTATGAGTGAAAGAAAAAATGTTTTGACGTTTTCTGTGAAATATGCTTGGATCTATGGGAGCATCGACAATCAGTGAGAAAATTCATACTAATTAAGTAGTCAATTTTACAGGGTGCAGTTTTTGCAGACGGCCGGGAAAAGCTCATCCAAAAGCCGGCACGCTGACCTGGCAGACATACTCTAGGATTGTGCTACGTGATAATTACTATGACGACCCTACTTAAGTAATCTTTTTGAGTCGAACACATTCCAGAATGTCGGTTAACATTTCGTGTAACCGTGCATTGCCCTGCAGCTTTGTTTTAGAACTGTGCCCCATTATTTACTTTGCAATTGTAACGACTCATCTCTCTTCATTTTAATCAGATTAGTTCATCCATCCCAGCCATCTTACTCCACGCTAATTGTCTCTCGCATTTGATGCATAATTTGCCTGCTATTATGGGATGGGCCGGAAGAAGGGAACGTTGAGCTTGCAGTCAGATATGCATTTCTGAATCGTAGTACCGTCGATAAAGCGTCAGCGTGCGTAATAGGACAAAGTAAACTATCCGTCGATGATATGATGACCCCTCAAATGATAAAGAAAATTGTTCACAAGTTTAAAAACTGTCAGCCACAGCCCATTGCCAAAATATCTGACTGGGTGGAGTGTGCAGATCGAGTGCTGGAGAATATGAAAAAGAGGATAATTATGGCTAAATATGTGAGGGTGGGACTGCGGGGCTACGATAAACGTCCTCTGGAAGTCTTTTTGGTGGGGAGCGTGACATGGGAATATCGAATTGCCTGTTGTCGTCACGTGTCGTTAATTTGGGCTTCAGGGTCTCCCATATGGTGCGTTTGTTAGCATTTGTGACACAACTCGAGACTGATATGTCGGCTAACATGATCAGCGCTGGGAAGCCATCCTTAGAAGGACTTTCTCAAGTGTCATGCAGAGGCTGGGTCCAATCTAAGCGAAAATCGCTGTCAAGCACATGTGCAAATGGGGGCTGGGGGTTTAGCTTGTGGCCAGTTAGGTTAAGTGGGGCGGGGCGCAAGATACTGACCTCTATGGCCAAAGTAGAATCAACAGCAATTGGCGCATCAGGTGTGACATGTAACGTTACTGGTTTGGTATGTGCAAGCAGCCGCGCCGCCGACTGCGGAGACAGACTGCCACAGGATCTCTCATTCGTGACAGTGTGAGGATGGAAATTGTGGTCCGACCTGAAGATTTTGATCCGTGGTTTCCTAAGCCTTGCAATGTTTATTTTATCTCAATAACTTAGCTACCGAAGAATTTCATGTGGGTTATTGTGCTTTTCTCACAGCTTTCGTGAAATAATTATAAATGCAACGTTTACAGGATGAAGCAAGTGTAAAATACGAGCCAAGCTGCTCAGTCAAATGTAATTCATTATCGAATAATTGGCTGGAAGTGCTTGTAGCGCTGGTTCACTGTTAAAAATAACTACAGTAGATGTGCTAGCTCATGTAATGTCAACCAAAATTTCGAAATGCGTTCTCGTTTCGAAGAGATAAATTAAGTATTGTTGTAAAACCAATCACGATGCAGCATAAATCTATAATGATCCAGTTACCTCAGGGTGTGGGCTTTCGAAAGAACTTATTTTCGGCTGCATGCAAGATCTATACTTTGCAAAAAATGACTACTTAAGTAGCATGCAATTTTCTCACTGATTTTCGATGCCCTTGAAATTTAAATTATATTTCATGGAAAACATGCATAAAAATATTCATTCTTTTACTTATTCGGTAGAAAATCACGTCTTCTTCCAATTTCATACTCAAAAGAAGAGTATCATTCGGTTTTAAAAAAGTTTCTAATTGTGAGATTTTTTAATACCGTTGAATGGCCGTTCATGAAACGTCATGTATCTGCATTTACGAATGTGGTTTGTAAAGTTAACAATATTGCTCAAATCCACTGTTTAATTTTATGAACCTCATATGGTCTCCTCTTAACACCGTAGAGAAATGCATGGTTTTCCGTACACGGAAAATATACAACTTGTAGTTTTGAAACCCTGAATGCAAGTGTAACAGCAGGTCGAGTTCAAATGATCTTTTAAATCCGAATTATACTCTTCTTTTGAGTATGGAATTGGAAGAAGACGTGATTTTCTACCGAATAAGTAAAAGAATGAATATTTTATGCATGTTTTTCATGAAATATAATTAAATTTTCAAGGGCATCGAAAATCAATGAGAAAATTGCATACTAATTAAGTAGTCATTTTTTGCAGAGTATAGATCATGAATGCAGCCGAAAATAAGTTCTTTCGAAAGCCGACACCCTGAGGTAACTGGATCATCATAGATTTATGCTGCACCATGATTGGTTTTACAACAATACTTAATTTATCTTTTCAAAACGAGAACGGATTTCAAAATTTTGGTTGACATTTCATGAGTTAGCACATCTACTGTTCAGGGTCGCCTGAGATTTTTCGGCCAGTAGCCAGCTTAAGGGGACACCGCTGTAATTTTGTGCGGGAATTAAGTTTAGGGCCTTTTTTAAAATATGTCGGCGAAGATAATGACTCGACAAGGCGACTAGTGGCTGGAAGTATAGGAAGTCTGAAAATTGGTTGGGCACTGGCGGATAACGAGCTTCTCTTCCCACTTTTGCACAAGCGCCGAGAACTTGGAGTAGAATTTGTAGCAAGGATTGCCTTCTTCTTTCTCCTACTCCCGTATGTACGCTTGCTCGGTGACCATATGCGTTCCAGATTATGTGCTGGTAATTGCATTGTATAAATGTTCTGATTTGGAAGGCAATTTCTGCTTTTTTGTTCTTTTTGTCAAGGCATCAAGTAAATGAAGTATAAAAGACTTCCCGTCACCTGTGTATCATAAAAAAGCAAGACGCCCTGCATATCGTGGAACACTAGACAGAATCTTTAAATATGAATTCAGGGAGACGAATCCAATTATCAAAGAACCTGAACTTCAAGTGATTTATACAAGATGGCATGAGACCTAATGGTTGAGAAGTCTTCAACGTGGAAGAGCGAATCGCATTCAAGGAATAACTGCTGCTTAACCCATGTGTATTTTTCAGTAGGTTTAAGATTAATGCGAAAGTTTATTGCTTCCCGAAATGTGTTTAAATCAACTTTTAGAATATTTTTACAGAAATTCAGGCCAGCTCTAAATATTATACCCGAAGGTGGAATTTTAATTTTGAAACGCCTATGAATACGCGATGTGCTCAGACGCTAGCATGATTATCTATGTAGGCATATTTGTGAATTTATTAATGCTGCCGTCGAAGTCTTTAACACAGTCCATATTCTCTGCATAATTTAAAGAATTATGCGTCGCTGCTTCAGGGGGCATTAGGAACTGCATTATTTTGCTTTAGGACAACTATACGCCATCTATTTCTGAAACCCTAAGCGCAAAATGAACCCTGATTCTGTTCATAGCTATAGCGGAAGGGACGAAGTCTTCGGAAAACACAGTACACCCCCTTCCAAGAAATGACACTAAAGAAGTCACAGTCCTCTATAAACTGAATACACGAAATGGCCCTTTCACAACATATTATTAAACTAGCTGGACCCGGCCACGCGTTGCTGTGGCTCCGTCTGATGAAATTGAAAAGAAAGAAAAGAGGAGGTGACACGTTTCTGATATGTTTAATCTCATAATGCTTGTGGGTATACAATATTTTTGTCGTTGCGTTGTCTGTGCAGATATAAAGATTGTCTGGTTTGTCGACCCTGGAACACGCAACATATAATTGGCCATGTGAAAAACAATCTGTTTGCGGATCCAAAGAGCACAATTTTAAAGATTGGCCCTGAGCTTTGTTGATGGTGACTGCGAATTCCAATCGAATGGGGAATTGCAGTCTCCTCAGTTAGAATGGCATATCGGTTGCGATCAGTTTGAATGCGATGAATGACGACATGCTCACCTTTGAAAAGTCCTGTCAAGATAGTTGCTTAGACGACGTTGCTCAGTAATGTTTTTACTGCAAGCCGCGTGTCGTTGCAAAGCTTCGGCTGGTTGATATTTCGCAGCACGATAATCGGCACACCGATTTTCAATTGCAGTACGTGCGGCGGCATCTCCGGCCGATCAAGTGAATTCGAAAATTCCGTTGGATAATTAACTGCCTTGTCTGCTTCTACGACAGCGTCGACGGTCGTGTATGTGACTGCATTGCTTTAAATCTCTATCTGAATAATACGGTTAAGTTGGTAGACTTCTTTGTTCTTGGCCGCAAGAATATCTCGTTCGCTCAGCCAATCGTGATTCGTACAATTGGTTTGAATATTGGGCAATATTTTTTCAACCAATTCTTCTTTTGACGACACTAAATTGCCGAAGGTAAGAGCTAATGAAATGCGTCCTTATGTCAGATCAACTGGCACCGTCCCGTTCCCGATTCCCAGCAACTGGTGTGGGAATATCCCAGCTGATCGGTCGTTTTGCAACTGGACACGCATATTTGTAGTCAATTATAACGTCTGGAAGTGGCGCCACAAAGCAGAGTATTTCAGGCAGCCATTTATTTCGGCCGCTGATGTCAATCGAGGAATTACAGGCAATATTTGACTGGAGTCTCCTGCAAGCAGTAGTAATGCGTCTCCAAAGGGTTTGGTGTTTCCGCGCAAATCTTGCAATGATCAATCGATGGCCTCGAGCGTTTTTTTGCGCCATTGTGCATTCATCCCGAACTATAGGTTTGCATTTCTGCATTACCTTTCCCACGGCGGATGCCTTGGAAATGTTGCACGAGGGAGTTTCGATGAATTGCGCGTTCCGCAGCAATTTTAAAGCGGAATGAGCTGTTCTTCCGCCGGGTATCAAGGTCGCAGCTATTCCGGACGAAGCAAGAGCTAAGCCTATGTCATTTTTTGGATCTAATTGCTGTCAGAATCTATCTTATTAAGAACCTTTTGCCAGTCTCTCCTTGCGCATCTAAGAAGAAGATTCCTTCAAATACGTTACTGACAGTCCGCATAATTTGATCCTAAATGCCATTCTGCTCCAGTTTTAGCTTATCAATGCTTGATTGCAGATACGACAGAAGATCAACCGGCGCAAATCCACATCTGGCCCAGCGGGGGAGGGTATGTTCAAGTGTGTGCAGGGGTTAGCGCAGCCGTCGGCCCACGTGTGTTCGAGCGGATGCCGGTCAAGTGGCTGCAGGCCAGCGCGTCCGGAAATCCCCTCCCCCTGCTTTTGCCCACAGCAGATGGCGTTGTTATGTAAGGAAAACAGGTGTTTTACCCGTCACAGGCGTGCTATCTGCATAATTATGAAGATGGGCCTATATAAACCCGCCTCTATGCGCAGGCATGGTTGTGCGAAATTCTCAGAGAAATCGGTGCAATACTTTAGAAGATTAGCGATTAAGAACAAACGAACATTTCCATTTTATACACAAATATATAGAAGATTTAAAAGATGAACGAAAAATGCATACTTAAGTAGTTGCTCTAGTCCTATGTTCATATAAGCAGGCGGGTGAGAAGATGCATTGTAAATTCGGGTGCATTCGAAACGATAATATAACCCAGCTTAATTTACCCTGTTTAACTGAATACCTGCTTGAAGGATGTAATTGGCACTTCACCAGTTTCGTGGTTGCTGTAATTTGTCGCCGAGTTCTTAGGTGTAGCCTATTGGTGTTCATTTATTTCACCCCTTCGGAATACTACAATTACAGATCCTCCACTCTGTACTCAGTGTGATCTCTAGTGCTCTTCCGCCTCTAGTATCGGTGCACCCATTTCAATTCAAAATGTTTTGTCAGCGGATAAAATGTACTTTCATTGTCGAAATGGATCACAAACTAAGTGGATTGATCTGGGCCACATAAATCGTCCGTAAAAGAAAACAAAATGGTTCAACGACAGGAAGAACAATTATCTCAATTTGCCCTTCGCATCCTCGACACGGATCATACGATAAGTTTGCTGCAGCGGTTCGAACAAGGCAACCCGTGATAGGGGAGGGAGGTCTGGGGGTTGAAGCCTGTGCGTTTGGTGAAATTTTCTTTTATTTGCAAACTGGTTTTCCGTTTGTGTGCATAGCCCTGCGCCTGTCGCTGCCGTCGCCTCCCTAAGCGGACGTTGGAATGCACAGAAAAATAAACAACTGATTCCAGTTCTCAACTGCTTCCCCTTTTAGTCTATCGATCAAGTATGAGGGACGCAAACGATCGCCTCTATCTGAGAGCAAACAGCGTTGCATTTTAGGATTTGCAAGATTTAGCCGACAATCCAAATCTCCAATCATTTATCTTTCAGGAATTTAAGACCCTGGCAACCATCTCCACGAGTAAAACTAACGGCCAGTAGACAGTACACCCGACCACAAAAGTAAATTTATTTAAAAGCATTCCTTCTGAAAATAACCAGAACACTGGCAGTGTAGTCAGCCTAGTAAAAATCTAAAGTGTTGCCTTTCCCGTAAAACCCCCTCTACCACCATCCAACGTATGACAGGATCCACAGGCTACCTCAAGTTAGTTGGGATCCTACACTCTATCGCTGCCGTTTTCACGAAAAGGAACAAATCCACTGCAACAGTTGAGTGTGAGAGTACACAATGCTCAGTACTGGAACCTGATTTATAGCCGATGCATTAAATTTGTGTAAGGCACCTCGACCGAGAAACAATAGTGCTGTGGATGATATGGCGTCTCGGAATGTAATCTACAGAACTGCCCATGGAGATAACCTGCAGATTAACCTAAACCGGTTAAGAAATTAGTGTGATCTTTGACATGTATAATGGAACAACATTAGGCCTTGACATCAGCGTTTGATTTTATGGGCAAACGGTCCAGGGATATGATTAGCGCATTCACTGCCAGCCAGTTTTAGAATACAAACCAGTCTGTCCTTGGACGTTAACGACCAATACTTACAGGCTGTATGTACCAGTCAAATGAGATTAAACAAACTAGTTACGAGGACAGAGTTTGATGTCGAATTGTTATTCAACGTTGCTTCTAATTTAACAGGCTATTCTAGCACACTAAGACAAAAGGTTTTTCGTGTCATCGCACAGCGTACGGGCGCACACTGGACAGAACGACATGGAGTCCTTCTGACAGTCTGGTCAGTGGTGTAGTCCAGCAGGATGGGCAACAGAATATGGCGTCGCTTGGCAGGAGATATCATGGTTTCCTTTGATGTCACGTCCCTTTTTACTTCTATCCCGCAGGACCTGGCAGTCGAGCCAATCGAACTACTCCTACGAGAGAAGTACGACGAAACGGAGAATCGCCTCGGACACGCCCAAATCATCCAGCTCCTGAAGTTCTGTCTCAAGACGTACTTTACATTCGACGGAACAATCTACGAGCAGGTGAAGGGGACGCCAATGGGTTCGCCGATTTCGGGACTCATAGCCGAGGCGGTCCTTCAACGGCTGGAGTCGCTGGTTTTCCGACACCACAGACCGAAATCCTGGGCTTGGTATGTGGATGACACCTTCGTCGTCACCGAACGGGATCAGGTGCTGACTTTCAAAGAACAACTCAACGCCGTCTTCCCGGACATTCAATTCACGATGGAGGAGGAGGAAAACAATCAGCTGGCCTTCCTGGATGTCCTCGTCTGCCGCAAAGATTGTGGTGGCCTAAAAACCAAAGTGTTCAGGAAAGCGACAAATACGACGCAAATACTGAACTTCAATAGCAACCACCCGATCAGTCACAAACGCAGTTGCGTAAGGGCGCTATACCGGCGTGTTGAGACGCACTGCAGTGAAATGGAAGACAAGGTTGCTGAATTACAATATCTTCGACGGGTAATGAGAGCCAATGGCTACCCGCGCAACTTTGTCAACCAGTGCATACGAAAAGGACACCAGAGACCAAATCCAACTAGCCCCAAATTTTGGCGGGCTCTTCCGTACGTGAAGAACGTCTCGGAAGCCGTCAGTCGTCTTCTCACTCCACTTGGAGTTGGGGTTGCACACAGGCCGGAAGCAACCATTAGACGCCAAGTAATGAGGCCAAAAGACCCGCTGCCACGGCAGGAAACGTCTGGAGTCGTTTACCGGATCTGGTGTAGTTGCGGACAAAGCAATTATGTCGGAGAAACTGGGAGATTACTCCGTACGCGACTTGCCGAGCACGCGGCAGCAGTGAGGCGGGGAGACGCTAACTCTCAGGTGGCGGCACACTCGACGGGACCCGGCCATATTTTCAAATTTCAAGAGGCCGAAATCCTCGCAAGGGGTGACAACCGCGTGAGCCGCGAGCTGCTCGAGTCATGGTTCTCAGGCCCGCAATCCATCAACAAACACAATGACCTCCCGGTGCCCTATTCCGTATTGCGATTTTCCCTGGGCAGGAGAATCAGTCACGTGAGGAGGGCGCGGGTGAGCAATTATCACGGTGACAGTGAGCCAGTTTGCCGAGCAATCGTCACACCAGCATCGAGCACGGATGACGAAATCGCGGCCATTAACAACTCGGACTCGGACCGCCAAGCCACCGCCGCATCAATTACGACCCCAGCGGCGATTGTGAGAACTGTTAATTGCTGTGCGCATACGGTCCCACGGCAGCCACGTGCTATAAATACTGCATTCCTGGTGCCACCTTCACCTCTATCTGCGAATGTCGCTGATGATGGATTCGAGTGAGAATCCGAAACGTCAGGCAAATAAACTTATTGTCCCAGTGATCGCATCTTCATCTTCTGAACTGCTACCCGGGACTCGCCTCTTCGCTTCAATCAGCAATGTTTAACATCTGTAAATTCCTCCTGAGAGGCTGTGGCGCACGACGCTGTTTTGGCTGAAGAGCAATAAACGTGAGACTCAAGGGGTAGATGGTACCCATCGCCCAAACTTGGCCGGGTTGTCTGCAACAGAGTCGTCATTCACCCTGAACACAATCACTCGGTGCTGCGTACCTTCCGCAAAAATGGCGAAAACCTCCCAAGTTAATGAGTACTACCAACTTTTGGAGCCTATTTAATATTGATCATTATTTCAGTTCAACGGACTTGCGGTTCCCTCTGGCTGAATATGCCGTCATCTTTCGGAATTTGTGGAGAAAACCATTGTCGCGTGGTTAATCCCGAACTGACTGTATACACGGCTGCAGAGTTCCTGCGCACATCCACCCGTTTCGACGCCGTTGGTTGAATCTTGAAAGTTCCTCAACTGCTCTGCCGACTGATGGTTTCAATGATGATCATTTGCCATTGCCTTCTCCTCCCGCATGGACTACAAACTGAGATCGGATTTCCGTGGACGGAGCCTCGGCAAACACGCACGCTGCACTGATGGACTACGCCCTCCGAACTTCAGTGCGAGCGTCTAGGGAGGTTTCCAGACTTTAGCATCTACTATGAGAAGTCCATCCTCCATTTGGTAGTGCAATCCACATAATATTCGACCGCACCATTGAGTCAGATTTGGGGAGAGCATCAGTCCCCGCGAACACCGTAGCATGGACTGTAACAGCACTATCAGACGGTTAACGAACGGGACTTCTTGTAAATTTTGAGTACAGGCGGGGGTTAACAGCCGCTTGGATTGTTTGTTCGAGGTTTTCTCTGGCGTTTTGGCCCAAGCAAGCAAACCTATTTACGACGGTCCGCCGTCGCCGTCATTGAGCCTTGTGGCATTTTGTAAGGCAGTGGAGGTGTCGGACTTGGCCCTCTTCGCTCTGGTATCACTGTCGTTGCTGGTCCATGGCTGTTTATGCGTCGGATCCGAGAGCCTACTTTGCAGCCAGCCTTCGCTAAGGGCCGTTCCACTATCCGCGCCCGTGGATACGCCAGGCAGCACACAAGTAACTGGCAAGGATGGATCATGTAGCGGGAGTGGGTTGTTTAAACATCCATAACTAGCTACTTTATTGTATTCAGTAGGATCACTCATGTGCTGTCTGGCGCCCTCATGGGTGCGGGTAGTGGAACGCCCCTAAGTGGAGGTTTGCTGCAAAGTAAACCCGTCCTTCCGTTCATCGCGGTGAATGCACGTCAACTGGACTTCACCGGTTCGGTACTCCGGTTCCAGCTATATCAGAAACACAGGCTACAACGAAAAGACGAAATCCCTGGCCACCCCGTCCTGTAAATTTTAAAACTCTCCACTTAGGATAGTGACTCGCAGTCCCATTATCAATGGAGCCATCAAATATTAGTCTACTGTAGCCGCCCATAAGACTGCACTCCAATCAGCCCTATAAGAGGAAGGGGAGCATCAAGACTGGAAGATATGCATGGATGATTTGGCCGTGGCAAGACTCGGGCATGGAGATAATGGTATTACCGGGTAACTGAGATCCTTTATCGTGAAAAGACGGCCTCCCGCAGGTCGCTAGTCTTCCCGTTAGACAAAATTACGGACAATGGAGATAGTGATTCGTGATGTGGCAGAGGAACGGTGATCTTAACGGTAAGCTTGACTACAGGTATTCAGGCCGTCTGACAGGGACTACAAATTGCTGCTGCGAAAACGCTCTTGAGGGCCGAACAACCGCTTCTTACCGAACTACGAGGTAGCTACTACCTGCGACTGGGAAATGGAAACTGGCCGTCATAAAGATGAGGCTTCAAGGAAATTCTAAACAAAACTCGTACTCTTGGAATGTCCTCCTTTCCATCACAACCCGGACCCGGGTTGGAGAATGAATGGGACTAAGTCCACTCCGCGGAAGACGGTAATCTGACTGTGGCGGTGGCAAGGTCCTAGTTCTCGTCTAGCCCATCGCAGTCGCTAACGCCCTCGAATCCCATACTGCCCGTACAAAGAGACATGCAATTGGCAACCGGACAATTACAAACAAAAAAACGTCCCATTCAGCCTTCTGTGCTAATGCCAGAACCAACAGACCATGCCGACTCACCTACCCATGCAACCTCTCTCCCTTCAAGGCGAAGTTGAGAAACCTGGGTCCACACAGGCTCTCCCCTTTCTAAACTTACGAATTACTGATAGACCTGTTCTAACTGCTCGGCTGCCACGTAGACTGCCGCTAAAAACAATGATGGTTCCATACTTATCTAAATAATGATAAAGAGGCAAAGATAATAGTTTCGGCGAAAACCTATCAATCAATTTATCATTACACGTCATTTCAAGTCTACATTTATAGGCCTCTGCAAAAGCAAACATTGTAAAATTTTTTAAAAAATCTTAAGGCAATGCCTTGCAGGATCATGCGAATGTACACGTGCAAATGTCACTGGAATACGAACTACTTTCCAAGAA